TGGTTAGGCAATGAGGTAAAGTGACTTGCCCAGGGTCACACAGCTAGTAAGCGTTATTTGTCTGAGGCAGCATTTGAACTCAGGTCCTCCTGAATCCAGGGCTGGTGCTCTTTCCACCTAGCTGCCCCAATTAATACTACATGTCATGGCACCACCACCATTTCGGATTTCAGCTCCTCTTTGCCCCCCACCAGTGGCTCTTCCTTTGTGACAAAGAAAACCAATTAAATAAAAATACCGAACAAAGCAACCGAGTCTGACATCTGTAACTTCCCACACCCAAAGGCTCCTAAGGCTTAACCCAGAGAAGGAAGGTATGCTTCATCATTTGTCAGGGCCAAGATAGCTTATTGCTTAGAGGCAGTGAGCTGGCACCTGGACCTGAAGTCAGGAAGACCTGAGTTCAAATCCAACCTCAGAACTTACTAGCTATGTGACCTTGGATAAGTCACTTAGCTTCTGCCTCAGTTTGCTCAACTGTGAAATAGGGAAAATAATAACATCTGCTTTGTAGAGTTGGTGCGAGGATCCAATGAGATAGTGCTTAGAACATGATAAGAGCTTACCAATCCTTGTTTCCTTCCTTCCTTCCTTATTCCACTTTAAAAGCATACCTAATAATACCCAATATTTATAGAGTGCTATAAGATTTGCAGCAGCCCTTTACATATATTATCTCATTTGATCCTCACAAGACGTAGATACTCTTATAATCCTTATTTTACAGATGTTGAAACTGAGGCAGGGTGAGGTTAAGTGACTTGCCCAGGGTCACAAAGTTAGTCCATGTCTGAGATGGGATTTGAACTTCCTGACTCTAAGCCCAGCACTGTGCCAATATTTTTGACACCCTGAGAGGAGCAATTCTTGATACCTTTGCCAAATGTAGAATTTAGGCCATCCCATCTGTATATGGGCTTTGAAACACTTATGTCTGCACTTCCAAAGATAATTAGATAACACATGTGTATATGTGTGTGTGTGTATGTATGTATATATATGTGTATGTATATATATATGCACACACATATATACATATATATTCATTTAGAAATTCAAATAAATAAGGAAAATAGAGTAATATACCTAAAATAGCCTAGTACCAACATACACTCTCCTCTTTTCTCTAGCAAGGATCCCTTTGTCCTCATACAGTACTTTCCTGGGAGTCACTGGAAGCTCAATGGCTATTGGAGATTCCACGTGTACATACACAAGCATACCTCCACATACCTTCAAAGAATGATGAGCCCTCATATAGACACTTAGGCTTCTCAAATTCATTCTGCACTAAAGAGAAAGATTCTATTGCTACTCACTCAAGTGAGATAATATAGAGGTAAAGGCCTTTACCGTTTATAAAATAAGCCTTTAAAGGGTGAGATGAAGGTTAGCTCTTGCCGAGACTGGTCTACTCCATTCTGATTTCTCCAGTCTCTGGCATCTAATAGTATTCATAGGTTGGAGCACAGCCATGTTGCCCTTGGTTCTCTATTCCTGTGGACTCTGCTCTCATCTTTCTATATATGTAGATCATTACTTCCCAATCAGATGACAGGTGCCTTGAAGTCAGGATTGGTGCCTCATTTGCCTTTGTAGCCACCCCAACATCTAGTATGGCGCTGGGCACCAAAGCCAAGCTAGAAATGAGGAACTAGAGTATAACACGTAGGAGGGCATGGTGAAGGATCCAGCCAAAGGCTCCCTGCAGATGCTAAAATATGAAGGACTCAGGTGTGAAGTGTAGCAACACATGAATTTCAAATCTTTTCTAAGGCACATGAATACCTTGACCTGGTTCTGCTGGGTACACAGTAGATGCCTAATTATGGATTATGCTTATAAAATCACATACTAGGTAGGTTCCTCTCTCTAAAGAAGATCGGGGAATGGCCTGGTGTAGCTTTCATAGTCACTCGTAGGCTTAGGACTGATTGTTTATGTGCAGGCATTCACACCAGCATCCATGAGGTAGTACATCCATGTGTTTTGGAAGACTGTAGATGAGTCCAAATGATTATCGCCAAGTTTCCAGATTTAAAAAAAAAAGGAATGATTTAGCCATTGAAATACTGAATGATTCAGCTGTCTTTTCTCCACTGCCAATATTCTAGCTATTTAGAAGTATGTTTGGAAACATATGGATGGTGGTTGTTAGACTTTTTTTTCCCACTACTTTTCATCTGGATGTTTGGTCTGCATGTGGATACTACCTGATAGCACGATATCACATATATTTGCTACAGAAAGTTATAGGAGTCTGTGGAAACTTTGAAGCTCATGGAGCCAGACCTGGGCTCTCTTCCACCTCACAAGTAATCTTGGATTTTATTCTAGGCTCTGCTAGTGACTCAGCAGGAAGCATCAGGCCCTTAGCTGTCCTGTCATCTAATCTTCTGGGGATTTCCATTTCCTGATCCTAAAAAGAAAAAAAAATCTAGATAATGATACTCATTTGCAAAGTGCTTTGAGATCTTCTATGAAGAGCTGTTATTTTGGTACAAAATATTGTTATTATCCTGTTGCTCTCAACTATACCCAGCTGTGTTCTCTGTAACTATATTTTTAGCTGTGTTTTCTGAAGTGAATCTAATCATCACAAACCCTGAAAGTTATTTAAAAATTTGACACCAGGGCCTCAAGTTAAAATAGTGCATGGTTACGGCAAGCATTCAAGTCTTGTTCTTGCCACTAGATGGGAGAGTCTTGGCTGGAATTAATCAAGCAACAAATATTTTTGATGAATGCCTACTGAGTGGTTAACTCCATTTTAGGCACTGTGATCCTGGCCCTCAACGAGCTTGTAATCTAATTGGGGATTTAATACAAACACACACCAAACAATTAGAGAAAGCAAGACACATAAAATTAAATGTTAAATGGTGTGGTGCGGACTCTAAATGCTTCAGGACTTTTGGAGGAAAGGCCCATAGAGATGAAGTACTCAGAGCAGGCTATATAGAGAAGATGAGATTGAAGTGGGACCTTAAAGGATAGGGAGGAATTGGATAGGTAAATGGCGGAGAGAAGTAATATAGATGAGGGAAGGTCCCTTCCCACTCATCCATCTTTCACGAAGCTACCAAGACAGTTCCCTTAAAGTGAAGGTCTGACCATTCCAAACCCTTACTCAGTAAACTCTATTGGCTCTCTATTACCTAAGACTCAACCATCAACTCCTTTGTTTGACTTTAAAGCTCTCCCTATCCTGGCTGTCTCTTTCCTATCTCTCTAGTTGACTTACACATTCCTTCCCTCCACCTTCTCTCTAGACCAGCCATACCGACTTACTGTTCTTCATGGACCACAATATTCTATGTCTCTTCTCTCTCTGATGATACAGAATCGTCCATGATAAATACATCAGAGAGGTGCTATTTGATCAAAACCCTAAGGATGGGTAGAACATCAAAGCTTAAAGAGAGGAGGAAGACCATTCCAGGCACAGGAAATAGCAAAGACACAGAGGCAGGAAAGCACAAGGCATGTTTAGAGGACATTTTAAGCCTGAGCTTGACCATGGGTGTGGGCAAGAACTTAGTGAAGGTGTAGGCAGGAGCTTTTCAAGTGGGTGGAATGGAGTATTATGAAATGAGGCTAGAAAGCTAGGCTGGTGTCAGACTTTGAAAGGCCTTGAAAGCCAGGCCATAGATTTGAACATTATTCTATGAGCAACAGGGAGCCACTGAAGGTTTAGGAGCTGAAGAGTGACATGACCTTGGCATATGTAATATTTGGTGAAGTGAACTGTTGAAAACCTCTTACTTCCTGATTGAATTGCAAGCTCTTTGAAAGATTTTTAAAAAATTTATCTTCATATCTGACATAGAGTTTACAGGAGGGAATACTCAACAGTTATCTGATGAGCCAAACTGAAATGCACTGAATGACAGTGAAGACGCTAATGCTTATTTCTTTGGGTTATAGCATATCTCAGATTGTCTGTTTCTGACTTTCTGTGTAGATAAATTTGGGACTGGGTGAAATATTTCTTTTTTTCTTTTTTGGTGAAGCAGTCAGGGTTAAGTGACTTGCCCAGGGTCACACAGCCAGTAAGTGTCAAGTGTCTGAGGCCAAATTTGAACTCAGGTCCTCTTGACTCCAAGGCCAGGGCTCTATTCACTGTGCCGCCTAGCTGCCTCTCCTGAGTGAATTCTTTCAGTAACATCTCTCCCCTGGAAAGTCATGTCTTATGCCATAACTTTTGCATGCCATAATATCATGAGATACATATTCTTCAAATGGAGGCTGTGTGTGCGCATTTCTTTGTGTGTGTGTATGTATGTGTGTGTGTGTGTGTGTGTGTGTGTGTGTGTGATTAAATGTGTGTATGTGATTAATAGCCCTTTCATCTTTTTATTGATTCTGGACATTTTTTTTTAAGTCTCTGTTACTCTACTGGTGTAGAGGACACCATGGGTAAATGAGAACATAATGTCCTCAGAATTGTAGTCCTAGAGGTGTGAAAACTACGCTGTAGAATCAGAGACACCAAAATCTATGTTTTGGGTTACTCTCTGATTGAGGACAGAGTTGCACTGATCCATTCACACATCCCTCTTGTGACTAATGGTCTTTATGTGTGAGAATGTTGGCCAGGGGGAGCAGTACACTCTGTAGCCACTCAGTGGAATGAATCTAGTTGAGAGAATGAAGGACCTTCATCCTAATTGGCACCATGCTAGAGCCTGCTGAGCTAATCATCACATAAAAAAAAGAAGGCTACAGGAGCAAGATTTTTTAGGGGAAAACCAATGATATTTTTACCTTGGAAATGGCCTGAGACTTGCCTACAAAGTCTATGCAGGCATATTGAAATCTATTTTGCAAATTATATGCAAATATGCACTGCTATGTCAAGGACCCAGCTGTGGCTCCCTGGGGGGATGCCCAATCTTATGCCATTGAAATGCTTTGCCCTATTACCTTTCCCAATTCAATTCAATTCACAAGGTATTGGGCCCTCACCCCACAGCCTTCATTTGGTCTTTCTCTTCCAGGGAGCCCAGTTTTCTCTTTACTTCGTGGAGGAGCTTGGTGCCTTGAAACCCGCTACCACGACCGTCAAACTTCACCACGATGGCGCTGTGACTGCTGACCATGACGGTTTCCCAGTTGACCTCAAATTTTTCAGTCACACTCTGGCTCCCTGGTGTGCCATCCCTGAAAAACAGAGCAAGGGCTGAGTGCCTACAAGACCGATGTCACCCACAAAGTCAGGTGTCTCAGGCGGCAGATGAGTTCTCTCTAGTGGTCCTAGTGGAAAAGAATTCTGCTCACCTTCCAGGAGACCCCGGATCCTTTCCCTCCTCTGCTGACCTGGTACAGGGAGATGTGTGGGTAGCAGTGTGATGCCTGAATAAACACGGGATTGTGAGCTAAAACTGAATATCAAGGGAATAAATAAATTTGGCCCCAGGTAAAATGATTAAGTGGGTTACCTTTATTGAAAGATTATCTATTTAGTTAAAGAAATCTTTCCCTCTAAGTCAAGAGGAAATATGTTGTTGAGGATAGAATTCTGGACTTGGAGCAGGAACACCTGGATTTCTCAGATACTAGCTGTGTGACCTTGGACAAGTCACTTAACTTCTCTGGTTTCCTCCTCTGTAAAATGGGGGTGTTGAACTCAATGTTTGCTAAGGTCTTCTCTAACTCTAGGGTTATTATTCTAAGGTAAGTACCATTATCCCTCCCTGAGACCCTCAGTTTCCCCATGCTCTTTGTCTCCTTGTTCAGGGTTTCTTACAGAGATATGCCTATCTCTGTCAGTGCTCCCTACAACGCCTCCTGGATCCCACCCCAACTTGTTTTCAAGGTAACCCATACCTGTCCAATTTATTCACACAAGATGTGTTATGGCTAACAGTTTAGGGTTTCATCAGCTTTAATAACAATAATTCATTAACTTAGGGGAATGGATGTCTACAATGATGGAATTCAGACATCATTTCTCCTCTGGGCCTCAGTTTCCTCATTTGTAAAATGAGTTGTACTAGGTTCTCAAAAGTGTTTGCTCTCAGGGCCCCTTTACATTCTTAAAAACTACTAAGGACCCCAAAGAGTTTTAATTCATTAAAATAACCATGATAAATCCATTGATGCTAATATTGATAACATTTTTTATGAAGATTAACCATATTTTGCAAACCAAAACAATTTAATGAGAGGAGTGGCATTGTCATACATATTCTTTATGGTTGCAAATCTATTTAATGCCTGAATTAGAAGACAGCTGGATTCTTATATCTGCTTCTGCATACAATCTGTTACAATATGTTGTTTTGATTGAAGGATATGAAGAAAATTTGGCATCATGTAGATGTTCAGTTGGGAAAAGGAAGAGTATTTTAATAAACCAATACCATCTTAGTATTCTTGCAAAAATAGTTTTGACCTCAAGGACCCCCTGGAAGGGTCTCAGGGGCCCACAGACTACATTTTCAGAACCGCTGGACTAGTATACCTCTAAGGTTTCTTCTAACTCTAAATTCTGGGAACAGCAACATGCCATTTAGGGGCAGATTTTTGGGCAGGGAGCCTTCTCTGGTTCCTCTCAAGTGCTACTTCCTAGGATTTACTCTATTTGGGGGTCCAAGACTATCCTTGCCCACATCTCCCACCCTACTGAGAGGCATTTGATTACTAACTGCAAAGAAAAGGAACATGACTGACCAACTGAGGTTAAAAGTCAGGGGGCAAAAAGAGAGTTCTCCTCTTTTGAAGAGCGGACACTTGTCATCCATTAAAAAAAAAATTCACCTATAACAGCATTTCTCATTTGGACCTCCTTACTAAGTGTGGCAGCCAGCATACTTTTTAGATTCTGTCTAATCAAGTGCCTTTAGCTTAATGAGCTCTGATATCTCTCAAGCACCTCCTATAATGAAATTAAGTTCCTTGGATAGCCATGACATGTTGGCAGTATTTGAGTCCTTGCTGGAAGGTAGCTTTAAGGATGATGGCCTTTTAAAATTATGATGATATTTTTTAGCAGCTAGATTGCCTCAGTTTCCCTTTCTTTGGGGAATGAAATCAACGATGAGGGGAGTGGGGCCAGAAGTATAACTGAGCTGGATCAGGCCCAGAGGAAAAAAATCTCTCTAAAAACCACTTCTGGGTTCCTCAAGGACAAGGTCCTTGTTAAGCTTGGTGGCCTAGAGCTGGGTTACCCTCTTGTGGTTGGGTTTGTATTGAAGCCCTCCTCCTGCTTCCTCCAGTAAGTCTAGAGGAGAAAGGGCACCAGGATGTGGCCCCACTAAACCTGGGTTTCAGCACCACCTCTGTGGGCTCGGGCTAATCCCTTAACATTTCTGAGCTTTGTTTGCCTCATATATAAAATGAAAGGATTGGGTTAGAGGATCTCTGGATAACCCTTTCCAGCTCTAGGATGCTAAGGAATGTAGGAGTTGTATTTGGAAGAAGAAGGAAGTTCCAATCCTGTCAGATACTTACTTACTGGACAAGTCACCTAACTTCTCTTGGCCTCAGTTTCATCATGTGTAAAATGGGGCTCTTATGAGGATTATTAGAAGGATATAAATATAGAAATAGTTACATAAATGTAGTTGCTGAGTTGTTTTCAGTTGTTTCTGACTATTTGTGACCCCATTTGGGGTTTTCTCGGCAGAGATACTGCGATGGTTCGCCATTTCCTTTTCCAGCTCATTTTATAAATAAGGAAATTGAGGCAATCAGGGTTACATGACTTGTCCAAGGTCATACAGTTAGTGGCTGAGGCCAGATTTGAACTCAGGTCTTCCTGACTCCAGGCCTGGCATTTTATCCACTGTACAATGCACTTAGTTGCTCATATAAAGTGAGCTATTCTTAATTCTTGGGATACTGTGAATACCTTTCTAATACTGACATCAGAGGACTGGATCAATGCATGCCTTCCCTAATAATACTGCTTCCCAATCTTGAGTTGCAGCACACTTTAGAGTTGTCAAATGTCTGCCAAGGGATAACAGAAGAGCCTCAGAGAAATATGGGCTCCCCAACTTGACTGGAGGCAAGGATGGGGAAGGAAAATCTTTGGGGATGGGTAGAGCAGGAAGGGAACTGGGTCCCTGACGACACATTGGCTTCTCATGCTCTCCTACTCTTTGGCTTACTCAGGCTTTATAAGACTTTACTCCAAAGATATTAGAGCCTGGGAGTTAGTCCCTTTGTATCTTTCTACCAGTGCCAAATAGCCCATGCCTGGCCTACTTGAATTCTCCCAGATTCTCCTAGCCTGAGTGCAGTCACTCCTTTCCCTACCCTTTAGGACACTCAAGATAAGACTGGGTAATCCTAAAAAGGAATCACAGGATCTTAAAGTTCCAGAGACATAATTAACCGGAACTGGGCCTGGGGCAAATTAAGTTGATGGGTAGAAATAGGAGAGGAGTGTAGCAACTCAGAGGACAGTCCTACCACTGAGACAGTAGTAACAGTTACAATCCCTGAGAAAGTCTCTTGCTTCAAATGGGGCCAAAGGTGAAGGTGGGTTCCTAAACAAGGGCACCAAGGAGGGACCCAGAGACTAGTAGATAAGAGAAGCTGGGCCCCAAACCACTGGAGAACCACTAGGGAAGATCAGGAACAAGGAAAAAACAGGCACCTTAGATGTTGGTTCCCTTGGGAAAAGTCCTGCTGGCCCCACACTAGTCAGGGCTCTCTCTAGTCGTCTCTTCAGGCCACAGAGGAGGCCCAGAGAGTTTAAGTGATGTTACTAGTACTCTTTCAGTATGTCCTAGAAGTTTAAAGGGACATTTTTGTATGATTGTGATGATTATTATATTTGAATTTCATCATTTAAAAAACAGGCAGTTTGGGGCAGCTAGGTGGCGCAGTGGATAGAGCATCGGCCCTGAAGTCAGGAAGACCTGAGTTCAAATCTGGCCTCAGACCAAACACTTGACACTTACTAGCTGTGTGACCCTAGGCAAGACCCTAGTTGCCTTTAAAAAAAAAAGGCACTTTCCATTTTAATAGTTTCCTTTTAGGACACCGTTAGTGTCCAGTTTAGATCTGCAGAAAAGAAAAGATGAGAAGGAATTAGCTGATAGGCTAAAAGTTATTTTTGACCTTTTCCCATAGTTAGTTGTTAAATTAAAGGGGATGCGATTTGACTGTCAGCATATCCAGAGGTGGGCTTTGAATGAAGTCCCACAGCATGGAAAGAAAAGTGAAGGAAGATGACTTTGCTGGGAATTTGAGAAGCATTTGGAGAGCCTTTCTTTCCTAACTCTCACTGCTGGAAACACCCTGGGGGGGGGGGTCCCTAACCCAGAGATCAGGGTTGAAAATCTTTGGTCTGGAGAATCAGAGGGGCCATCAGCATCTATGAGGACCATTTGAATAAAAGCACCCCCAAGGGAGGAGGAGGAGGAGGTAGTAAACCAATCCAGAAGGTTAAGGAAAGTGGGTTAATTCTTCATTGGAGCCCATCACTCTGTCCTTGGGGCCATGCTGCGAGCCTGCCTTCCAGGCTGAGGTTATAATAAAAATCCTTTTAGAACCTCAGTAATTAAACCCTTTTGGATAATGCCCAAGGCAGACCAGGCGCATCCTGAAGTTTGTTCTCTGGGCTTACAGTGAGGCTGCCACTTGCTGTCTGCAGAAGAGACTTCCAAACAAATGCGGAGATTCCTGCCACTTCCTGGCATTTTCCTGGTCGTTGTTCATGCTCTTCCATAAACAGTTCACCCATGAAAGACGAAGGTCATACTTACACTACCAGGAGCAGAGGATAGTGGGCGGTATCAGTGAAGGTGGCCGGCTTTAAGATCTGCATTGGCAAGTCTAGGTGGGAACAGACAAACACGGTAACATTTTAGTATTGACGACTGACTGACAGATAATAAACATGGTTCATATTTATGTAGTACTTTACAGTGGATGGAACACTGCCCTTGTAACGGTCCTGTGAGGCAGATGGTGCTTTATACCCATTCTTAAGATGAGAAAACTGTGGCTCAGAGAGGTTAAATAACTGCCCTTGACCACTGTCACATAGCTCTTGTGTCACCTTACACCCACGTCCATTTTTCTTTCTGTAATCCTCAGTCATGGTGCTCAGTGTAGAACAAGGGGTGTTG